CAGGGCATAGTCTTTGCTAGCAGAGTGCAGGGAGGGTGAAAATTGCTGCGAGCCAGTATGATTGAGTTTGCTCCAAAGAGAAGAGAGCAAGATTGTGTAGCTGGTGTCAGCAAGATGAGGCATCCAGGGGAGTTGACTTGATTGATGGTGTTTTTGGAAGGAAATGGCACGTATGTTTGACGTAACAGATGAGAGTGGAGGGCAGTGTTAGCATACATGGTCTGCACGAGCTTGGTTGTGCCTTGCTGGGCTGTTCCCAGAGCAGAGCTCAACGCATGCTTGGTATGGGATACTTTCTAAAGTTACTGTGGTTCAAATGAAATGACTGTGGAAAATAGCCCCTCCAAATCCTATCCTGTGCAGTGGTTGCTGAGATTTTTGCAACAAGCAGGATGCTCTTTCTGCAAACTTACCTTTGCAGTCGCTTCTCTGAGCAGAATCTCACTTTCAGTTGGTGTATGAAGCAGCGAATCTGTCTCCCATCGCAACCTGTTGTCAGCAGAGCAAAGCTATGCAAATGCCTGCTGCACAGGGATTCTCGCTCCTTTGCCTCTCCTCGCTGGAGGGAAACAGGCCATGCCTTTGTCGGCAGCATATCGCCAAGCACGCGGGGCCTGGACACGTGAAGGGGAAGGGAATAGCTGATGCAATAAGCAGGGAGCAGCACGGCGAGACCTGTGCATCGGTGTCCAGCCGTAAACAGGGAGGGCAGGAGTGGTGATGGCAGTAATAGCAGCTAGTGTGTAAATAATGGAAATAATAGAGACGCACAGGTCCCTTTGCTCAGCTTCCAAGCTGCAGTTGCCTTCCTCAGCCTCATTTACTTGTAATGGCTCATTAGGGCTGGTCACACTCTTCGTTACTCATTCAGCTCGAGTGCTCCTGTGGCAAGGTGTGCACACTGATGAGGGGAGGAGTGTCACAGATTAACAACAAGGCAAGGCAGAGGCATGGGGATGTGCTATCCTGGCATTCCCTGTCTAGAAGAGGCGACCTCGACTAAATGATCCCAGACTAACATCAGCCCCTCTCTAACAGACTCACCACGGCCCTCCAGCAAGCCACCAGCGAGCAGAATTATCACGCCCTGCTGCGAGCTACCACCTCTCTGCAGTCCCCGAGGCATCACACCCGTTTTCATTTAAAGTGTGAGGCAATCTGTCCAGAGCTGCGCACCATCTCCCCCACTCCCCCGCCTCTTAAATTTCTTGCTGTCTCTCTAGAGTCAGCAAGCGAGCATAACATAGCGGTTTTTCAAAGGCAAAAGGGAATGTGGTTGAAACACCACCTCCGAGGGCAGGGGCACCTGGCACCTTGCAGTTTGCCATTGGAAAGGCCGTCGAAGTAACAGTCCTTCTTGTGCTTCTGCCTTCTCTCAGAAGGAGGCATTTCCGGAGCACGTCTGCAAAAATACAAATCTTGGCCCTCTGCTAAAAGCTTTTGCGGTGAACATGTGTTACCTTGCTGCACAGATCAGCATGGGAGCAGGGTCCTCCCCCGCTCCCAAACACAGCTTGACCCTTCTGGGCGGTCATGGGCAAAGCCTTTGTGTCTTCCTCTCTGAGTAACCACTTGCCCACATGAAGAGGAGCCCCAGACCTTCTGCCCCATCCAGTGTAACATCTTCCTGTCTCTGCCATGCTCAGACAGCACTGTAGCTGCCTCCCTGCCCTGTTGTTAGAGCAGAGGGTGCGTAGGAATAGGCCGGTGGGTTGCAGAGGCCCCTCACAGACTTTCTGCAGGGGCAAAGCTGAACCAGGAGCCCACAAGTACGTCAGGGTCATTGATACAGGCTCTCAGAGGGCTGAAAGGTTTCACGGCCAAAGTAGCAACACCTGCTGGCCAGTGGCATCTTGGACCACTGATAAATCTGAGGAGAGCAGCCAGGATGCTGCACCTGTGCCTGCTGCCAGACGGATGTTGCGGATAAGAGCGCTCTCTGTACTCCATGCAGGTTTGAAGCCAGGCTGGCTGGGATCAAGGGCATCTGCGAGAGCAGATCAAGATATGCGTTTGTGTGAAAGCAGCACGCTTGATTTTTCCCTTTCTTCTCCTCACATGCATGCAGACATGAAGTGTATGTTTACGCTCCGACCTTAAAGCAGGCAATTCATAGACCCACAGGCACCTCTCTTCAGTGACCGAAACTTTGTATGGCAAGAGCAGTGTTTCTAGTTCCCTAACGCAGGGCAGCAGGTGCTGCTCGAAAAGCCACAGGCGCTGAAGTGATACAGCACTCTTCCCCTCTCTAATAGGGGAAGGGATTTCTTTTTGCAGTCTTTAACCCTTCTGACCCAGCAAGGCTGAGCTGTGAAGGGACAACACAGCTACAGAAGCCGTAGCAACAGCAGCGTAACAAGCCAGGTGCAAGGTCATTTTCTGCAGGAAGGGTTTGGGTCTCTGCTAATCCTGTCTTGCTGGTGGGGCTAGAAAGCTGTCCCTTCAGGTTATAAATCACTGTGCTACCAGATTGCAGAAGTCTCTGGAAAGGAATGTGTGAGCATGAGCCCCTTTCCCAGGTCTGTTTATCAGGGCTGAGACATCAGGAAGAAAATGTTCTTCTCATTTCAGTCCTTTAAGAAAACCCAGCAGGGGTTTTCCTAATGTAGCCCTGTCCTGGAGAGATGCGTTGATATCAGCACAGCAGGTATTACCCACCACGTACGAATCATCAGCCAGCCCCACTGTTGCAATCGGTTGGGATTCGAAAGCTTGTGATTTGGCTCGAGGTAAATCCAGGTCTGGCAAGTGACTCTTAGCAGGGCTGCTCCGTTTTGGCATCCTGGGGCCAGGTCTGCTAGCCAAAAAGTTGCTGTCAGCGGGAGTGTTTCACAGCAGGAGAGACCGTTTCCACAGTGCGACCTTTGCTGATGCCGAGGGAGAGCGGATCCCATGGTGCGCTACCTGGGTCTGAGAAGCACGATCGTTCCCTGCTAGCCAGAGGCAAGGGGAAACCTCTGCTGTTTGGGAATGTGGCTGCTGCTTTAGCCTAATGGATATTTGCTTTTCTCTCCCCCTTCTCCTGCCTGTGCCCTTCAGAAGAGGTACGCAGCCAGCCCCTACTCAGATGAGATTGTGATGGAAGTGGCTTCTGCAAAGCAGCAGGACGAGCCCGAGATGCTGTGGGTGATGGGACCTGTCCTGGCTGTGATACTAATCATCATCATTGTCATTGCTATACTCCTCTTCAAAAGGTGAGATCCAGTCCAGGGTGCTGCAGTTGGAGCTCTAGTGCGTGAGTACTGCAGGTGGTAGCACCTTCAAGACCCTCCTTCCAGCCTTCAGATGCGGGGTGCTCTGGTAAAAGGTCCTTGGTGGTTGTGGGGAGGAGGAAGGTCTCTACCTGGCACCGCTAAAGGCTGCTTTACAAAGACAGCAGAAGGGGTGGGTGTGCAGAAGGCAATTAATGTCAGCTCCAGGACACAGAGCTGCTGTGAATTTTGGAAACCAGCTGAGCAGTTGGACAGAGGAGAGCTGCTTTGTCCCTAAAGCCAGTCTAACCACTCTCTGGTCCAGTCCCAGGGAAGTCTGCAGTACCAGTTTCCTGCTAAAAAAATGCTGAAATTTCCTGCTTGTTCTCTGGCAGGTGCTCACACCGCTAAGAATTTTGATTGGGGGAACATGGTCTTGGTGGTGAGAATGGTACAAGATGGGCTGAAATCAGAGTAGGAGCTCTTCTCCTCTTGAGACCTCTCGGTCCTGGCTACTGAGTCAGAACCACAACGGGATGGGCCATCCGTGCTCTGTGCTCCCTGCTGAAGCAACTGTCTGCTTAACTGTCCACTGCTTAAGGGAGCAGTCCTATCAGAGCTGTAACTGTAGTGTGAAACCATTGTTAGTCTTCACAACAAGCCGCAGGTTGCATTTGCATGTGTTCTCGTAGCCTGTTCAATTACGGGAGGTCATATTCTCTATCAGCTCAGCTCTGAGGTTCTGCTCCTCCTGGACTCTCTATTTACATATGTACTTGTAGCTCGGGGAAGGGAGCTGGCTTTGTTGTCTGATTAAATGGAGCTCTGCTGTGCATGTGCAGTCAGTGCCTTTCTGTGTTAGTGATCATCTCCTTTCTTCTGTTTCTGCTCTTCTCTGGATCTAGTAAACAAGAAAGGTAGGAATCCATTTTATCTTCTTGTTTTGCTAAAATTACAAGTCTGTTTCCCTTTTTAAAAAATCAAGACTCAAGCTAGCAAGGGGCATCTTTGTTTTTGGGTGTGTGGGACACGCCAACCCTCGCGGGGCGGGGGGGAGGTTACAAAGACTTTGTTTCCTCAGAGGCATCAGCCTCCTATTAATTGTCAGGCTCTCGCAGCTCTTAGGCAGACCATTCCAACATAAAGACATTCCAGATTGGTTTTGCAGTTAAGTTAAAAATCCAGAAATGAGAGCACCAGCAGTTATAGGTGTTTCTTTGTATTCTCAGTCACTTCAGACTGTGAGCTGTTTAGTCAAGAATGCAGGTGCCATCAGTCTGTAGTAAGGAAGCTTTAAGGGAATACCAGGCAACAGTAGGAAACACGGTGTTTGCTTGGCTCCAAGGAGAGAAAATGGTCTCCTCCCCATCTTCCCCAGTCTGTCTGTACCTAGGTCCCCCAGATGCTGTGCCCAGCTTGGCTTAGCTTTGCTTTGTCCTAGACACTTGTATGGGTTGAGCACAAAGCAGTAGCACCAGCCCACTGTGCTTGGCAGCTGACTTTTATGTCCCTGCTGCAACAGCCTGTCTACTCGATACTTCCAGCACCGCCTGCGCGCTCAGAGCAACGCTGTTATCCTACACCTTTTTGCTGCCCAGCTTCTCTTTAGAGGGATTTTCTTCCAAAGATAACTGTGCAGCATATTCACAGTTTCACATCTACAATGGGAACGAATTGATCCTGAAGAGCAGTAATAGTTTGGGAGCAGGAGGGTCTGGGTTTGTTTCGCAGTGGCCCTGACTAGGCTAACGAGAGAGACAAACATTAATTATCTGTTGCGCCCCATCCCCGGGAAAGCTGGACCACCTTGCTCAAGGGCTGAGGGACTGGCACACAGTAGCACATGGCACATCCTGCCACGCTCTAGAGGGGAGGAACAGTGCTTTGTTTGTTTGCCATTTATTTTTCTTTCTTTCTGTCAGGACTCTGAGTCCTTGAGCTCTTTTGTCTCAGTCCAGGCAGCTAGAAGGCTTCTGAGACAGTTAGATGACTCAGAGTAGCGTGAGACTCACAAACTGGTCCTCCCCATTGATCGGCTCCAGTGTTTGATGCTCCACTGGCTGCAGACAGAGCTTGCTCGCAGTCTGAGCCTCAGAGGAAACGGAGGTTTCATTTGCTGTGATTTATGCACTAAATTTCACTTAATTTCTTAGCATCAGTGCCAGAATCACTGCGCACAGCTCCCTGTGGTAGTGATAATGCCCTGTGCCTGTGCAGAGTGTTTCTGATCATGTGTGGCTCAGGGTCACCCACAATCCTGAGATGTGGCTGCTTCTGTGCAGAACAAGCAACTCTTCAGGATGCTTTGAAATGCCTCACAACAGAGCAGAAAGCAGAGACTGACTGTTGCGATTTACAGGATGGTGAACACATGAGAATTAGTGCAGGCTAGCAGGGACGCAGCTCCCTCTCTTAGAGAAAGCGTCAGGTCAGCAGAGGGGTTCACCACCAGGCAGAACCCAATTTGGGGTGGTAGCCGGAAGACAAAAGTCTCTGGGTATTGCCGCGTGCTCAGCACCTTGGCAAAGCATCGGAATCAGCACAGGCTCAAGGAAGAGGGTGCCCCTGCTCCTTGCAAGATGGTTCTGGGATCACATCCTGCCGAAGACAGCAACTGTGCCCCCTGTTCTGCTCCTGCCCAGCACCCCCATCGTACTGCACGGGACCATGCAGCGTGTTTGTAATGTGGAGGAAGAAGTGAGGCTTAGAGAATCACTAAAAACCCGTCTTGCAGTATTAGATTTTCCTTAATATTCTCTTGTCCACTTTTCGATTGGATCTGTCCCTGCCTTGCCTGTGAATTTCCAGCAAGAGCCTGAGGTGGTGGCATTGCTGTAGGCATAAATACAGCATGAAGAGACAACAGTGTATTTTATTGTTCCATTAATACACGCCTTGGGTGCCTTCAACCATTCAAGACATGTATTAATGGCCCAATAAAACACACCCTGAAGAGCCTTTACACTATTATATTATGGCTTTCTATATTTAAATATTTTTAATATTTAGAAAAATATTGAAAAAGAATTGAATTATATTCTTCCACTGCAGGAAACAGTTCCTAGAGAGAGTAAGAGGAAATAAGTTCTTGTGTCTATCTTGCTTTTTCTCTAGAAAATATTATGCAGAGTACCACATTTCAAAGCGTCTCACTAATCAAACCTCTGTCACCACTTCAATATGATCCTTGCTGTTTCCTTGCTGGAAAATC